TATTAAGAGGGAGGGCTTCTGGCAAATATATTTTCCCCCCTTTGTAAGCCAAACCATCCCTGCACGTTAGGGAGGTTTGATTATCTTTGAACCATTGGTCGGTGAGGAGCTCTCGTTTTATTTTCTTTACTCCAGGGTCATGAGGATTGGGGACCCTGCGAGGTGTAAGTTGAGTGGCAGTTTGTGGATTGGGGATAATTGCCTCATTAACCTCCTCCTGTTCGCTTTTGTATTGGGCTAATCGGGATAGCGCATCAGCTAGGAAGTTCTTTCCTCCTGGTATGTACTTTAGAGTGAAGTTAAAGCGGTTAAAGTACTGTGCCCACCACACTTGCTTTGGGGACAATTTGCGGGGAGTTTTCAGTGCTTCTAGATTTTTGTGATCTGTCCATACCTCAAATGGCACCTTGCTCCCTTCTAAATAGTGTCGCCAGTTTAATAGCGCCCATCTAATCGCGAAGGCCTCCTTCTTCCAGACTGCCCATCTCCTATCGCTTTCAGTAAATCTTTTAGAAGTGTAGGCGCAGGGTTGTAGAACTCCACTTTTGTTCTTCTGCAGTAACACAGCTCCAACTGCCATATTGCTGGCGTCGGCTTGAATCACAAAGGGTTCCCCTGGGCAGGGGTGCTTTAGGACCGGTTCAGCAGCAAATAGTCTCTTTAAATTCTCAAAAGCTGTTTGACAGCCCATTGTCCATGCTAGTGGTTGGCCCGGTCGTGGCTTCCCTCCTCCTTTGCCTGTTTTGAGTAGGTCTGTAAGGGGTAGGGCAATCTCGGCAAAAGAGGGGATGAATTGACGATAAAAGTTGGCAAAACCCAGAAAGCTCTGGAGCTGTTTGCGAGTCTTTGGGGGCTGCCATTCGATTATAGCTTTCACCTTGGCTGGATCCATTTCAATACCCTCATTGAAAATTCTGTAGCCAAGATAATCTATTCGGGTTTGGTGAAGTTCACATTTCGACAATTTGGCATAAAGCTTGGCATTCAATAGTTTCTTTAACACTTCTCTCACCAGCTTTATGTGATCAGTCATATTCGTGCTGTATATCAGGATGTCATCAAGATACACCAAAACCCCTTTGTACAAGTGATCATGTAGGACCTCATTAATCAACTGCATGAATACAGCTGGGGGCCCCTGTAGTCCAAATGGCATGACTTTGAACTGATAGCTCCCCATAGGACAGTTGGAAGGAGTTTTCCACTCATCTCCCTCTTTTATTCTCACCCGGTAATATGCCTCTCTCAGGTCTAATTTAGTGAAGACACTCCCCTTAGCCAGATGGGTTAATAAGTCCTTTAGGAGGGGGAGGGGGTATTTATTTTCCACACTCACAGCGTTGAGACCCTTATAGTCTATGCAGAGATGAAGAGACCCATCTTTTTTCTCTTTGAACAACACAGGGGCTCCCACGGTAGATTTGGCCCATTCGATAAACCCCCTCGCTAGGTTTTTGTTCACGTATCACTCTATCTCCTCCATTTCGAGGGGGGACATAGCATACATTCTCGGTCGTGGGAGTTTGGCTCCTGGCACCAGTTCGATGGAGCAGTCATTGGGTCTGTGAGGGGGTAGGGCATCACATTCTTTTTCACTAAATGCCTCTGCCAGGTCCCAGTATTCATTGGGGATGACTGGTTCGCCTGGAGGCGGTGAGGTGGCCATGTGCGCTCGCTCATTGGGTGGCCTAAGATGCCCTGCAACATCTGTTGAAACAATAGGGGGATTAGGCCCTATAGGTAGTCTCACGGTTCTCATTCCTTTCTCCCACCAGATAAACGGCTTCCATTTGTCTAACCAGGCTAGCCCTAGGATTACCGCCTCAGTCATTTTTGGAGCCACCAGGAAGCAATCAAGGAGAGAAGCAACCTAGAACTAAGGAGAAACTTCCTGACAGTTAGAACAATTAACCAGTGGAACAACCTGCCTCTAGAAGCGGTGAATGCTCCAACACTGGAAGTTTTTAAGAAGAGACTGGACAGCCATTTGTCCGAAATGGTATAGGGTTACCTGCCTGAGCAGGGGGTTGGACTAGATGACCTCCAAGGTCCCTTCCAACTTTATTATTATTATTATTACTTCCAGAAGATCCTATGTCTCCAGCCAGTGGTGGGATTCAGCCAGTTTGCACCAGTTCGGCAGAACCAGTAGCTAGTTTTTTTTTGCCCAGGCCCAGAATGAATTTCCGGAAGCAGCATCCACACAGAGAACCGGTTGTTCACATATTTGAATCCCACCACTGCCTCCAGCCAATTGTTAGGCAGCAGAGCAGTAGCTGTGCATCTGATTGGCCCATTTTTTATATAAATATTCTGCCAATATTCTGGCAATTATTCCTAATCTAACTAGGGTGGGGAGAAATCACCATAAACCATAATTCATTCTCTAGAAAAAAGTGGTTAGCTTACTTTACCCCCAAGGTATCCGTGGTTGTCTTATCCAAGGGTTGGCTCCAGAAAAGGTTTTCCTCAACTTCCCTCCTAAAAATCTGGATGAGGCAGGGCATTCATTCAGTGCACTGAGAGTGATTTATTTATATTTTATTTATGTATCATCTTTAGAAACTGCCCGTTTCCCTCAGATTTTTGTTCCCTCCAAAATAATCCTGTATTCAACCTCTTGTTTTGACAAGGGCTTGCCTTTTGTCAGGGATAATGTTTCAGGAATTGGAACAGGCAAGATTGAAGGGGGCAGAAGAAGGAAACCATGGAAGGAGCTCCATCCAACCTGCCAATAAATATTTGACATGATTCTTTTCATTCAAGGCTGCAAAGCAATGGGTTAAGATCAGGGAGCTTTTCAAATGGAGTTGAGGCTACAGCTGAACTGAGGCCTATCAGTTTCCAGCTCCTGAGTCAAATCAAAGAAATGCCCCCCTCATTTTTCTTCTCTCAAGGGACTGAAAGTCACCACAGCTGTTTGACCCAATAAATTAATAAGGGTATGGGAGGGGAGAGACAGAGGGTTTTTTTCTGATATTTTTAACTGGAGGTGGAAGAAAGCAGGTCAGGAAGTAGAGAAAAATATCCCATCCAAAGTAATATTAATCAAGATATCTCCAGTAGAGGGAGTGTATAGTTCTATATAGAAAAAAAGTAAAACCACCTTCAAGTCACAATCTTGGCAACAAAATGGACCTGATTTGTCATTCCCATAGTCTGGAATATTGGGAGGGGGAAGGGCGACTTCACAGTATAACCTAGAGCTATAATGTTTCATGGTGGTCTCTTATCCAAGTAATAATCAGCTCTGAGATCAATGCTATCTAGCTATTTCTGTGACCAGCCATTATTGACTAGAAGCTCAATCTGACTTGGGCTCTACAGGGAAAAATTAAATGATCTGCAACAAAGCAGCAGAGCATCCGTGGCCAAAACACTCTGGAATTTCTTGTTTACATATGTTTGCATATCAAATTTTTAATTACAAATACTTGACAATACAGGAAACTGTATAATTCCTCCCTTGAGGAGGGAAATTTAGATAGAAACAATGGTTCCCTCGTGTGCTTTGGCTCCCAACTGATTTCATCCTCTAAGTTTGCTCTTACATTTAATTTGCCATAAATTAATTTGAAAGGAAGGGAAAAATAAGAATGAAAAATTTACCCCCAGATGAATGAACAATTAGGCAGCTCTGCAACTGTCAGTAGTGTATGTTGAGTAGAGATGTTATGAACAGCAGGGCATTAAGAAGTGAGGATTGGATTGCAGTTCAAAGACGTTGACTACCATGTAGCTACCATGAACTGGGATGAGAATTAATGACTAGGTGAAGCCATGTCAAATTAGAAATAAACAGAAGCGGAGATTGTGCAACTTGGAAATGAAGAGCAATTTTGATAGTAAGGGTTTGAAAGAAGTAATTTGGAAGAGAAGAAAACTGCTAGGCTAAAATCCCAAACTGAACTGGGATGAAGACTATGTTTGGATAAGAATTAGATGTGATTAACTTTGAGATCCTTAGAGAAGATAAATCAATAAGGAGAAGATATTTCTGAGCCAGAAACCCTCAGTTGTCTAGAATGGGAGTAAGAATCATTGGAATGGTTTCAATACTTTTTCTCAGTAGCAGTGAATAATTAGATTGGATAGTTTCCTGAATCTCTGGAATGAGGACTTCTTTGGGAAGTTGATTTGTCTTTGGGAAATTGATTTGTTCTGAGAAAGGACAAACAGCATATCAATTTGAATCCATGTTTTCCCAGTACTTCTTCACTCTCCTGCTCTTTCTCTCCTTTTCACTTTCTCAGAAATGCAGAGTGTTTCAGCTGCTACACTAGACACCAAGAAAAGAAAAGATGTCTCTTTTACAGCTCCTTTTGATCTTCGCTTTCCATTCACCAATCAGACTCATAACTGCTACCAGAATTACTTGGGTAGGTAAAAGACAAGATGTGACCATAAAGGCTAGGATAATTTTTGCTGAACAGCTTCTGAGCCATGCAGGCCTGTTCAGTTTGTCATTCCAGTAGCATATTTTAAATACAGATAAAGAAACTGCTGCACTGCATTTTGCTATGCACTAGCAAAAAAGAAATTACTAACCTGAATAGTTTATCATTGTACTTAGTGGAACTTACTTCTGAGGACTGCATTGTTTATGGCCAAGGGACCAAAGAAGAAATTGTGCTTTATTTCAGATGCAGGTTGGAATATTTGACTGAATGTGTTTCTTTAAAGCTCAACAATTTGCAGTACTTAAATGGCAAAGAATCCAATTCCAGATGTTGCATGATGAACCTGCTACAATTTTCCTATATATTAAACTGTAAATAAGCACAATGGATGATACTATTTTTTTTTTGCATTTATCCACACTACCATCATCTTATTCTCACAAGAAACTTTTAGTTAGCCTGAAAGATATTGGCCCTAAATCACCCAATAAACATCATAATGAAAAGATTCTAATGTGAATTTCCCATTCGTAGTTCAAGAGTTGAACAATTATCAGAAGATATCAGCTTCTTCACTGTCCTTGCAGATTATTACCGTTGTCTGAAGATGATGAAAGGCAAAGGCAAGGATGTGCAGAAGTGTGAATGGTACCATAAGGTTTTCAAATCCTTGTGTCCCAGCAGTTGGGTAAATAGAAGCATCAGATATGGAAGAAAAAAAAACTATCATTACCTTTTTCCCCCTACAGAATCAGTGCCTGCCTTCCTTCCTTCCTTCCTTCCTTCCTTCCTTCCTTCCTTCCTTCCTTCCTATTTGGAGTGATGGATCATTTCAGTTAGAACCTGGGGCAAAATATGTATTTTATGGAAAGTCTGATAACTTGTTCATCCATTTCAAAATAAAGTTATAACTGCATTCACCCCATACTCTTTTTCCATATCTATGAACATGGCCTTGTTCTGAAAAGTTTTGATTATTTATCATTGGTCTATTGCTACCTAAACATATGTGTAACATATGAAACTTCTAATAGTAAATTTGATAAATATTTTTAAAGAGGTATCCACTAGTGCTTCAGACCAACCTGCCTATCTTTATTAGTTAATTGTAGTGTAAAGAGTAGAGCCTATGATGTGGCCTTGTCTTAGCCATGATTGTAAAGGACTTGTCCTACTTTTTTTTCTCCTGAACCACAAAACATCAGCTAGTATTAAAACACACAGGACAGCAATGCATCAGTCAGCGGCTCTTTTTATCACTAAACAAGGTCTGAATTTCATCAAGTCACACTTTGCTACTGTGAAAAGGCTGTAAATGTGGATCAAGTCCATTTGCTATATATAATGCAAGGATGTGATCCCTGTTTGCAGTGTTTCTTCAAACACTGGATGTATCAATCTTTTTGTGGTGAAGACTCATGAGACAGAAGATGTTAGATTATCATTAATGGACAGAAAATAGTACATTGCTTTGATTGACATTTCCTAATTAAGTAACCCCTGGATAATTTAGCCTACATATACAGGTGGGTCTTGACATCTGATCACAACTGGAACCAGAATTTCAGTTGCTAACCAAGACAGTTGTTAAGTAAGTTGCACCCAATTTCACAACCTTTCTGCCACAGTTAAGTGAACCATGCAGTTGTTAAGTGAATCTAGCTTCCCCCATTGACTTTGCTTGTTGTAAGCCAGCTGGGAAGCTCGCAAATGGTGATCACATGACCCCAGCATACTGTAACTGTCATAAATACATGCCGGTTGCCAAGCGGAATTCAGTTGTCTGAATTTTGATCATATGATCATGGGGATACCGCCATGGTCATATGTCCAAAGACTGGTCATAAGTCATTTTTTTTCAGTGCCTTTATAACTTTGAACAATCACTGAAAGAATGATTGTAAGTCGAGGACTACTTGTACTGCTGAGTTTGCTGTGTAGGAATTTGAAAATTGAAAGCAAGCACATCTGCAAGACATGAGGGATGAAAAGATGCCATTTTGAGATTTTCAATGTCATAGAGAGGAATATTGCTAGTTTTATTCTTGTTATTATTTCAAGAACCACAATATCGTGTGTCTGTGCTAAAACTTCCTTAAGGTTCTTATTTGCTCTTCAGGTTGATCAGTGGGATGAGCAACGTAAACTGGGAACTTTTCCTGGCAAGATATAAAGATCTATCTTCCATTGCCTTTGTGAAGATAGCCTGAGAGGTACAACGGCAAGTATATTTTTGTCTAGTTCCAATTCAACGATTAGTTACCTCAGGAGAACTGTGAATCTTTGCCCCACCAAAACAGAACAAAATGCAAATAGAAGTGTTGTAAAAAAAAATCAAACAGAAGAATAATTCCCAATAAACAACTTTCTGACAACTGAAATGTTTAGGTATTTTTAAATGTTTTTCTCCCCAGATTCGTATATTCTGCAAAATTTTAAAATAATAACACATGTATGTTTTCTGTGGAAACCTGTATTAGTACATTTTCTCAATAGTTCATTCAAGACAGATTTTTTTCCTTCTTGTGCTGCTTAGATGTTTTGGGCTATCATAGCAACCTTCCTATTATCCTGAGCAACTGGAGCTGTAATCCAATATATATAAAAACGTACTTGTGGAAAGCTGCTTCAGGATAAGTTGGTGGTTTTAATTGGAAAAACAGTACAAGAAAGGATTTAATCTGCTTCTCACATCTTGATTTTGATCCAGATCTTAACAGGTGATTTATGCCCAAACAGAAAGAGCCAGAAAAAAACCACAGCTTATTTTACCATATAAGGAATCACAAAACCTGAAGTTTCAGATGTAAACCCAAGATTGCTTGGCCAAGCTTTCTCCCTTCTAAAACAAGATTTTTGTATGCAGATATTGGATCCACACCTCAAAATATACGAGAGATAACAAACGGGAAAGGTGTGAAGCCAGGACATAAACACCACTCCTTTCCCCACACCCAGGCATACTGGCTAAGGGAAATAGTTGGAAGGGAAATGCACGCTCACGTACTGAGCAAACACACACCCAAAATCGAAATTGGGGTTGAGAAAGTGTGAACACGCCTTGCCAGGATAACCCCATCCTCTGCCTATGAAGTGGAGTGTGGCAAAGGGAAAACAACTCTCCTCTGGAATAATAACTCAGGAAACAGGTGCGGGAAATCTCTTGATACAAATGCAAGATTGGATGGATGGGCAGCATTGCTGAGGCAGCTGTTCCATGGCCCCAAACAGATATGCTCACCCACCCTCTGTCATTTCTGTGCCAAGAAACTTTCTCCAATAGTCATACACTTTCTGTTTTGGGTTACAGAAGCACTGGCTGTGGCTGTTGCTTTTCCTTACCTTGTGATTACTTTTGCTGAGTGGGGGCGATCTAATGGAATCTTGGCCCTGGTGCTCCACACTTTGAGAAGAGGAACGATGGCTGAATGATGCATTAAACATTGAGTTGACTGGGGAAGTCTTCATTACAAATCACTGCTGAAGCCCCCAAGGTGGCCTGAGGCTAGCTGCCTTCTTTCCGCCTCAGCCTTGCTATCCTCTCTGTGTGCAACATTGAAACAATGACAACAATATAGCCTTTCTATGTGCTTCCTGTAAGAGTTACTGGTAGTCCTTGACTTGCAACAGTTCATTTAGTGACTGTTCAAAGTTACAATGGCACTAAAAAAAGGTGACTTATGACTGTTTTCCACACTTACTTCCGTTGCAGCATCCCCATAGTCATGTGATCAACATTTGGATGCTTGGCAATTGACTTATATTTATGCCGGTTGCAGTGTCCCAGGATCACATGATCACCTTTTGTAACTGTTAAGTCCGGAGAATAATGGCGCTTGAGACGAAGCATTTCTAACAAGTCTTTATTCTCTGCTTCCAATCTATGAACAACCCGAGCAGAGGCACGCAGGCCTCTATTTATACCTTCTGATCCCCGGGCAAATACAACCAATCACGAGGCGGTCTTTTCCCGCCTTGCGCATGCGCGCAAGGCCGGCGCCACTCAGTCTGGTCCCGGGCAGCTTTTGCAAATGCCCGGGACTCTTGCAACGTCCCGAGCCTGCTTTTGCAGGCTCAGGACACAACACCCCTCCCCCCTAGATGAAATAATAATGCGCCCACATGGACGCCATCATAGTAATGGTTATATAACTAACTGTTGAGTTAATGTCACACAGTGTGTGTAAGGTGTGGGGCTGTTCCGTCGTACAAAAACCCAATGGCCCCAACCTCGTTTCCGTAGAGTCAACCAGCCTGGACCTCTAGTTCAGTTATTGCTATTTACATGCTCACCTTACGTAATCTGCAAGGTATTTGGGAGGGCCTTTGACCCTGAGCGACCTTCTCGGACCTGGGGAACTTGTAGTGTTTTCCCCGTTGCTTCCCACACTAGGTGAATTGCCCTGTGGTTGTCTTGTGACTTCTGTTTGACTTTCCTGCCCATCTCCTAGGCTCGAGAAGTCAGAACTCTGTTGATCACTATACCTGGTTGAACTACCACCTATGGAGTTTTCCAACCCCTCTGAACTCATCTCCGTGTTTCCTGATGGAGTGTGGTTTTCCTGGCTCCTTCCTGTAGTATTAGGGTCTAGGGATGCCTCCCTGTTAGCCCTTATGCGTGGAGACATCCTTCTATGAGCCATTTCTGCAAAGGACGTGTTCCCCCCTTGTTTTGCCTGCTCTCTTGCATATTGTGAGTTGTGAGTATGCTCCCAGTTATTCTCCGTGTCTGGAGTATTGTGTGTGAGGTGTGGATAATTAGTATACCTCCGTTGGGACTCCCAGGCTGGAGTGCATGTGGGGGTGTCTGTGTGCCCCCTTTCCCATGAATTGCTACCTGAATCACCTGTGGAACTTGGGTGTTGAGTACCCGTGTCGTTCCCCACAACCGTTGTTGGCAGCAGATTCTGATTCCCAGAATGCATTCCCCATTCCTCCTCCCCCCCTGGAGGAGACAGAGGAGGAACCCCAGGCGAGTCCCGCCTCACACGAAGTTGATCAATGTGGCGGCGAAGAACGCGGCTGTCTTCCAGGGACACCTCGTAGGACAGAGGCCCCGAGACCTTGCAGACCACAGCCGGAACCCAGAGGTGTCCAGGCCTGTAGTTCCTGGCCCAGACAGGATCACCTTCACGCAGGACCCGTGGTGGGTGTGGCTGAGACACCTGTGAAGCTACACGCTCCGGATGCAGCCTGTCCAATTTAGTCACGAGCCGACGACCCCAACGGAGTTCGGCCGGGCACTTACCCGTGGCAGTGCACGGAGTAGTACGATGGGCTAGAAGAAAGTCAGCCAACCTG